AGGGATGAGAGGTGGGAGGGAAAGGGAGAGAGAAGGGAAATTGCATGGAAATGGAAGGAGACCCTCAGAGTTATACAAAAGTACATACAAGAGGAAGTGAGGGGAAAGGGAAAAATAATACAAGGGGGACAAATGAATGTCAGTAGAGGGGGCAGAGAGAGAAGAGGGGAGGGGAGGGGAGGGGAGGGGGGATAGTAGAGGATAGGAAAGGCAGCAGAACACAACAAACACTAGTATGGCAATATGTAAATCAATGGATGTGTAACTGATGTGATTCTGCAATCTGTATATGGGGTAAAAATGGGAGCTCATAACCCACCTGAATCAAAGTGTGAAATATGATATATCAAGAACTATGTAATGTTTTGAACAGCCAACAATAAAAAATTTAAAAAAAAATAAAAAAATAAAAAAAATAAAAGTGATATCAATCTTTAAAAAAAAAATAAAAAGGGCTGGGGATGTAGCTTAATTGTAGAGCATTTACCTATCACATGCAAGGTCCTTGATTCAATCTCTAGCACCACAAATGCAAACAAACAAAAACATAAGAACAAAATGGAAAACAAAACAGAAAAACAGGCTAGAAAAAGGGGGAAAAATGACAACAAGCAGTTTGTTTTACACTTTGTATAAATATGTGTGTGTGTAGCAGAGTATGATTATGGATTAAAACAAACACACATAAATATTTATATAAGTACAAATGTGTGTATATATGTGCACATATACATATATATGTGTATGTGTATATATACACCTGTGTGTGTGTGTGTGTGTGTGTGTGCATGCATGTGTAGCAGAGTTAAGATTATGGGTTCTGAAGTCACCTTGACTAGGTTTGAATCCCAGATCTGCCATGAGTAGCCTATGTATTCTTGGGGATGATAATAATACCTATCTCCTAGGGCTCCCATAAGGATATACAGCACTCAGAATGGAGCCTGGCACATCATAAGCATTGAGGGAGCATTAGTTCCTTTCATTACTCACTGTAAGTGGAAAGCAGCTTGAGTAATTTAATGAGGTGATTTTCATTTGGGGTACAAAAGGTCTGGTTACAACCAACATCATAGCAAGAATGTCCTCTGCTCAGCACCCTCCAGCTTACTCTCCAGTCACGAGGCTGGCAGCAAAGATGAGGAGGACGAATCATTCATATACACTACAGGAGCTATTCTTATCTCTAGGGGTTATTATTAGCACCCTCAAAGGCTTTTCTTTTTAAACATCTGAAATGCATGTGGGAAATTAATTGGTTTTCTCAGTCTAATTTCTAGTGTCAGCTGTGACATCACAAAGTCAGCTCCCCAGATGGCACCAACTGGGTCCCTTATCAGCATTTTTAGCACTGATGCCAAAATGAAATGGGTCCAGCAGCCTAATCAAAATTTACATGCTAATAGGTAGTCCCTTGTGAATGAAGTTAAGCAGAAAATCAATAAATTAGCAGGTACCGTTCCTCTAACAAAATCTTTACAGACTTGAAGTAATAATAAAATAGCAAGGAGTCGATCTCAGGCCTGACAAAGAATATTATGTATCAAAACATACATATATATACACACGTACATAAGTATGTGTGTACATCCATGTGCGCATATGTAGCAAAGTTAAGATTTAAGGAACAGAAATGTAGCATTAGAAAGAAGTAATCGTTTTTTTTTTAAAAAAAAAAAAAAAGAAAGAAAGAAAAAGAAATCCAAAAGGGAATTATAAACCCAAATTAGTTTTCTGTTTTTTAGTTAAAAATTGAGATTTTTTTTTAGCAAAAGTTAATATTTTGAAGTAAACTTGGTTTTCACTTAAAGAGCAATACAGAATTCCAAAGATTTTAATGTTTTGTTCTCTGTGAAAGTCCACTGGGAAGTAGTCAATTTTTCATTATTATTTCAAGATATTTGTGTGATCCATACGCTCCTTTTGTTCATTCTGCAGCTCTTAGCCATCTGTCATATTTTCTGGAGAGCCTGATAAACACATTTAGTCTAAACCATATGGTCATAAAACCTGTCATTGTGTCATAGTCAAGGTCTTTTTTTTTTTTTTTAACAAAAATTCATTTGACCACCATTACTTCTTCAAGAATGTTATCCTAATCTCGAAATCAAACTTTGGACCCACAATAAATCAGCTTTGAGTATGTGTCTACTTTTAGTAAAATGCCTGGATAATAGATGTGTTGAAGTGGTTAAGTTTTCTCATCAGTTTTGTTGAAATTCTCTGATGGCTTTTGAACCATTTGTCATATTGACCTGCCCGGATTTGGCCTTTTTTTTTTTTTTTTTTTTTACTTCCAATGCTTTTTCCCCCAAATCATCCTCAGCTACCAACCCATTCCCATGATGAGATCTTTGGCTGTGTCACCATGAAAACTGTACCACCTCTGAATCTTTATCTTGAGCACCCCGCATCTAGTTTGACTTTGGTGCTACAACTCAACAATTCCATTGATTGTACCACCTTTTTCTTTTTCTTTTTTACTACTCATCATCTCCCTCAATCTATGAACCATAGAATCACATCTATTGAAAGCACTAAGTTTCCATTCCTTTCCCTCTCCTTGGACTCACTTTGCAAAGCTCTATCCTTGGTTAAACTCTACTTTCTACTTACTCCATTCCTGCATTCAAATAGCTAATGGAAAAATAAAAACAAAAACACCTCACCAAGATGACTAATATGTTCAATTAAAGATTATAAATCTCAGGTGTACTAAACCCTACTCAGCAATCCTCTACTGCTCTATAAATGATCTTCCAAATCACGCATCCCTCTTCACATTTTCTTCCTGTTCTCTCTTACACCTTTCTCTCACCATTAATAGGCTACATTTCCTATCTCAACATTCTCCTCCAGCTACTGCCTAAATTTTTCCCCCTCCATTTTCTCCCCTCATTTTTCTCTCCTTAACTATCTTTGGATTGCTTTCCTCTCTGGTGCATCTGCGCTTGAAAGGGTCACTACTAAACTCTATCACACACGCAAACATTTGTGTGTCTGTTAATAAAGGAATTAAATATTTATCTTGAGTTCATGCAGAACTTTTCTCTTGTCCACTCACCAGCGTGTGATCTCTGCTGGAAAGACTAGGGCACATGGGTTCAGCATTGCCCTCCATGTTCTCCTTCTTAAGCTTGTATGTTCTCCTTATGATGGGCTGCATACTGGAGCATGTTTAGGCAATTCCTTATGGAAATACATAAAGAAATATGACTGGCTTCAAAGAGAATAAGTTGATGAAGAAATGGTTCAGAAACAGAAGGAGAGAGAGCAGATGAGCAGAGGGGTAGGGGAGCAATGGCCCTGTGGGTGTGATGGTTGGTTACTGGACTGGGTGGCATATTTGGTGTTTCTGGGCCCAGAATGGTAGATGCTGGTAGCAATCCCTTCCCACCACAAACGCCCACACATTTTCAATCACTTCCCCCAAGAGGACTGAGAATTAATGAATGGAATGGCACAGTCATTTTTTGCTTTATATTTTACAGCAAATGTACCTTCTGTATATAATTTGCTAAAGACATAATTCATGAAACACTTCTACCCACAATATTTTTATGGTATGTTAATAGCCTTTTAGCTTAATGCTTTTGTGCCTTGCAAGCTAATTCTGGAATGCATTAAGTGTGTTAAGTCAGGATTAGATGCATGGGGATTTAAACCTGCTGAATGGAATGAGAGAGAGGGATCCTTTGACAAGCAGTTTGGAGACAAAGTGACACATCAATGTTCAACAATATAATTGCTGCAAAAGAGGCCATTATCCCCTTTCTATTTGTTTATGAAGGAACATGTAAAATTAGAGGAGGTTAATATACTTCTTTGAAAGGGAGAATTTAGGAAGTCAAGCAAATAATTTCCTGAGCCATTACTGGGAAGAAGTCATTCAAGAATGATGCTTGACCTTCAGGGGGCACTGTGATAGACCATTGTGGTATGTACCATTCAAAAGTGGCTCCATAAATTTCTCCCTCCTGGTGTTTATTCCCTTTGGTAATCCTCTGTCCTTGAGTACCCACTGTTTGAACAGTGTGTTTCCAGTAGAGTTCCAGGTACAGACTCTTTTCAATGAATAGACTATAGGGAAAAGGATGACATATCACTTCTGAGACTCAGTTACAAAGAACAGACACTTGTGTCTTGCTTGCTGCCATGAGGCAACTTGCCATGCTGTGAGCTTCTCCAGGAAAGGTTTCTGGCAGATACTATGCAAATTTAAGCAAGTTGTTTAACTTCTCTGGGATTCAGTTTCTTCATGAAAAAGCTGGTGTTGAAACTGGAGTGGACTTTAAGAACTGCAAATATTTTATTCTAAGCTCCACCCCCAAATCTCTTTCTCATTAACTGGAAACTGCATCAGGAGGTTTTCCCCATGGACTTTACCTGCAGTTACTACTCAGGTGGAGAAATTTTAGATGGTGAGATAAATGGAGATAGAATATCTATGGATACCTTCAAAGATAGTACAGACAGATAGGTTCTTGTGTTGCTATGAAGCAGCTACAGGGTAATGGTGAAAGCAACAAAGATAAACTGATTGTTTTCAAATTTTTAGGGTACAGTAGGCTTCCTCCTTTCTGATGTATGCAGACATATAACTGATCATATTTCCTTCTTTCCTTGGCTGCAAGGAAGCTTAGCGAAAACTCAAGTTCAGTCACAGCTACTGTGTCCCATATGTGTTTGTATTCTTTTTTCCTGTCTTAATTTTTCCACTGGTAGGTTATCACATGTCTTTTGTTGCAAGCCAGCTCCAGTCCTTTATGGAAATTTTAGAGGCATAAATAAATATAAGAAACAAACATACGTGTTTTGACTTTTTAAAAAATCTAATTGTGATAACACACACAGAAATTGCAAATATGGAGATACACTTCTATCTTGATTATTTTCAAAGTGTAAATAATGTTGCTATGGTTTGAAAGGGAAGACCAAAATTTAAATCAGCATAATGTGAAAAAAGCATAAGGTGGAAAAATGAAAGAAAACACAATAGCAACAATATTTGTACCGTTTTTATTTGTAAAAATAACCATCTGAATGCATTTCCATAGTATATTACAGTTAAGTACTTCATTACGTTATTAGAGCATTCAGTAGTTGCAAAAGTATCAAACTGTGCTTGAGAAGATTCAGATTGGTTCAAAGTCATTCACTGAACTAAAAACAATTTTCCTCATTTTTACAGTCATGACATTTACCAGAGTCATTTAACTCCAATTTACATAAGAAAACATTACAGACAAAATCCCACTGAAATCATCAAACAATATTTTCTGCTGTTACAAATATGTTATGCAAAATATAACACTGGCACCAAATTTGTATCATCGTGCATTGTAAAGATATATTGCACATGCTAAAGCATAAAGAATGTAGACAAAACTACTAAACAAAAGGTACTTGCATTGAATCTTTATATCACGGCATAAGAAACTCATAGAATTACATTTTATACATACGCTCAGATTGTCACTATCTCAAAACGCTTTTCCTCTATAATACTGACCTATGGTTTACAGTTTTGTAAGAAGAAAGCATTTTAGCACTGCAAAACCAAATGTAATTCCTATAGAAAACTTTAGCATTTTCATTTCAAAGCAGAGAAAAGGGGAAAGGGAGGGGAAGACACTTTATACATTCAAAGAAAGGTTGCAATGAAAACTCACTGGTATTATATTGCTCTGATAACACTCAAATGAAAAAAATACAAAACATTTCACATAACGTTTTCAGAATATACAAATATAAAAAGGCACTCTAACTTCATTTCACATGACAAAAAATGGGATGAGTTTTCAACCAACACAACAGATAAGCAAACCAAGTTGCTCAACAGTACAAAGATTAACTAGTGCAGCAAATCCATTTGATGTTCTGCTCTAACTGAATAATAAAACAATAAGTCAAGCAGCTGTTTACTGCCTAAAGTACCAAAACATACTATGGTGCCCTTTTAGTAGTGATAAATAGAAATCCCCTGAGCTATTTACTGTAGAATCATAGCAGGTTTTAGGCAATTTGGAGATAATGATGTATTTACCAAAGATAGGCAGACACTGGCGAATCGGTAAGTGCAATGAAACATGATCACAGGGCTGTGGTTAAAATACAGTCTAAAAATAACACATTTAGGTAAAAGCACTAAGCATGTAAGACTAAAAAACACATTTTCTGTTTTTGTTTTTTTCTTAGAAAGCTATGTTGCAAACAATCTTATTTCTAGAAGATGTAATTTGAAACACACAGAAATTACAGTTTTTAAAGTCATTTCTTAAAAAAAATTTTTGGTCTCTCTTATGAAGGAGAAGTGGGGAGAACAAAGGAGAAAGAGATCTATACTGATTCAATGAACAGTTCATTGTGAGCATGATTTCATTTTGTTCCTTTGTCCTCCTTCTATCGGAAAGACAGTGAGGAAAAGTCAAAATGCAGCTCCACGGAGATAATGCCTCAAGGTAGGTCACTGCTTTGCTGAAAAGATCCACGTACTCTCTGCTACTCTACAGGAAAAATGTTAATGCTGCCTTGCTATTTAACACAGGCATTTCATTTCCTGCTTTAAATACCAACCGAGTAAGACTCCCATTCACTTCTAGAAAAAGACACCTCAGTGTGTCATGCTCTTCAATATCGGAGCTCCCTTGTTTTCAGTGTTTTGGTAAAGATAGGTCATTATTGTTCATTAGCAATCTGTTTACATTTTTAAAAATTCATCTTCTGTAAACAAAAGAACAGAAGAAGGAGAGAAAATACCACACCGAGTTTAAAAAACAATGATGTCGGTGTTGAAAATGTTTGATGAAATTAATAACGGTTCTGTAAGACCTTTGACAAGTTCTCATCTGTGAAGAACTCAACATGAGTTTTAATTAAATCCAGGATATTAAAAGAGTAAGATTAAATAAAGTCTTTTACAGTTAGAAGAAAAAAATAATACAGTATCTGTGTTTGATTCAGATATGATAGAACACTGTTTTGGAAAATATCTCACACACACTGTGAGATAGAAATTTCCAGGGTGAAAATGGAACTTATTATAAAATGTTGACTAGTACTGCCCTATTGCAACACATTTCTTTCCTGTCTCTTCCTCAAGGGGAATATAGCACTTGAGCTGGTGATTCTGATTTCTTCTCTTGGCACAGTGCCCACGCTGACATCATTTCCCATTAGGGTTGGGGACCAGGTAAGATTTTTCAGTGTATTCAGGGTAATTTCTGGGTCTCTCTTTGGCCCACCTTTGTGTATATGACCCACTATACACTTTAGCTTTTGTCTTACAGAAAGCATGTGGATGGCCATGTCTTACACACTCTATGCTGGCTGCAGACTGGGACTGAGTGATGCATGAACCTGAGGGTGGACTGGAAACCTTAGCAGTGGAAATGCTGGGTTTGGACCGGGGGCTGCTGGCTAGCCCAGGGTCAAGGGTGTTTTTCTATTTTTTTTTTTTTTTTTGTTATTCCAAATAAGATACATAACAATTAAAACAAGGAACAAACAGTTTCCTCGGCATTTGTTTCATTTCAAATAAATATAAACACATTTACATCAAAAGTATACAGACATTTTCTCTAGTTTGACAAAAAAAATAAACTGTGGTCAACACATCATCAGTTACAAATGTTAAGCCATCAACTAGAAATCTGTGTCATAAGAAATATAAAATACAACAAAGACTGGTACACAAAAAGATTACACTTTAACTCCATAGAAAAGCTACTACAGTTCTCACTTTCATTTTGAAGGAAAAAAATTTAAATCTTCCACTTTAGACTGAAGCATTTTGGTCCTCACATATAGCTGGCTGATGAGCTACATACATATATATATATATATATATATATATATATATATATATATACACAGATATGTGTGTGTATGTGTGTGTGTGTGTATGTGCATAATTTTTAAAGTCTCATTCTTCTTTTTGTACAGCTGTTCCAGGTGCGGAACGGGGTCCATTTGACCTAGAAGCTTTGGCAGAGGGAGTAGACACAGTATTCACTATGTTGATTTCATCATGGAACAACTGGCAATTGGCTTTAATTTCCATATCACCCATCTCTACTTTCTGCTTTCACTTTCATTGTTCCCTTCTGTAGTCATACTTCCACTCACTTGGCATGACCTTGACTGAGAAGCTCATTTAACATTTTACTATTGATGAACAATGCTGACAATTCAAACTTTTTTAAAAAGTTAGTATTTTGATTTAAGGAGAAATTAACAGAGGATAGTTTCATATTAAATTTGCATATTGCCTCAAAGTTTTGGCGCAATATAATTTTCACCTTCAATGTTATTAGATAGATTTGGGCTCAATCACTTGAGGGAAAATTAGTCATGTTATGGGGAAACATTGGGTGCCGTATTTGTGTTAAATGAAAAAAAAAAAAAAGCAAGTTCATTCATCTGGCAACTTTAACAAAGATCTTCAGAAAGAAGTTCTGGATATTTAAGTGCTTACTATAGAGAGGATAGGAATAGTTGGACTCCCTTAAAAAGAATATTATAGGCATTATTTCTGAAGATGAACATCTTTACCTTTGGCTTCTAGTGAGGAAGTAAACATCAGAGTGAGAAGAGGTTTGAGGCATTTCCTATCCACTTCTTCCCTCCCCTCCCAGGGGACATGAATGTCACATTGATATACTTCTGAAAACTCACTGCTGAGTACACACACAAAAAAATTCTTTATAGTGAACAGTTGCCTCTCTGTTGCCTTATCCCCAAGAAATAGAATCAAATACTTTTTTTTTAAATTCCTTACTTAAAATGAGAGGTAGACTTTCACAGAAATATCTTAGATCTAAGGAAAACATGAAACTAAACAAAATCGGAGCCCATCTGTGTGTGTATTTCACCCTACAGCCTAGCTGCCCTGCCTAGGTTGGATCAACTCCTTCTCTACTGGCTTCTGGAAGCTCGGGCCCCCAATAATACTTGAGTACAGCATAAACATGGAATTCAAGCTTCTTTCCCTTCCTCCAACACAGGTGATGAAGGAAAAGCTTCTACCGTCCAAAGTCAAAAGGTTTCGGAGTCAGAATCGTTCTCATTGTACCCGTCCTCCGAGCCTACGTTGTTACTGCACAGGCTAACCATGCTCCCCAGATTGGAGAGGGTCGTCCTGCTCAAATTGTCTTTTTTAAAACAAACGAAGTTGACAGCCGTCATTGTACTGGAAGGAGAAAAAGGCATCATGGTAGCCAAAATGAGGGCCAGGCAGTCAGCCACGTCTTTGTTAGGAGCACAAGCCAGGGCCGGGGTATGACCTGGGCGTAAATGCAGACAAGGCAGAGGTTAGTCCTGGGGTCCAGAGAGGCGTGAGCATTCCACAGTACATCTCCCATGTGCTCACGGGTGGAGATGTATGTTGAGTTAGCATTCATGCCAGGTCAAAGGAGGAGTTATTCCCACAAGTCATGCTAGGGGTGAGACTGGAGGGGTTGGGAGGGAAGACATTCTATGGAGGGGGTTTTTTGGTGATTGTTTTCAGCTCACACGACTATAGCAAGCACCATATTATCTGAAGTTAGGCAGAATTCCAGCCTTCGTCTAGTGAACAGAAACATGAGGGGGCGGGGGTAGGACATGATTCCACAGAAAACAGCAACAGGACAACCAGGAGGATGTTTCTACTTGAGAGCACACGCACACCATGAGCCTCAGACCTGGGCCTGAGGGGGACTCTCATTCTGAGAACAATGACTTTCCATGGTAGGTAACCATGTGTCAAGTTAGAATTATATGGCTGTCAAAATGACTAATGCAGTTTTGTCACTTTATATCTATTTTACATAAAGTATACATTAATTAACTGGTTTTAGAAAGATGGAAATGTTTGGATAGATCAGACACAGGAGAGCACTAATCGATCTGTGATTAACAATTAACTACCCTTTAAGAGAAATATAACAGAATTTTTTTAAAAAAAGTAGCCACCCCACATAACAAAGTCCCAAATCTGAAATGTATCAGATGTGGGAAAAATCTATGCTTGCCCTAATTAGAGCTATGCCATTGCTATCATTTATATTTCATGAGTCCAGTCCAGATGAGAAAACTGCCTCAACACATGAAACAGGTGCCTTGGGAGGTAGTTTCATTCTTTGACTTAATTACTACCCTATCCAATATTTACTCTGCTGGCCTGAAAGGCTTAGCTACCCTCTCTGCTGGCAAAAGTTCCCACTACACAATGAGTCTTGTACTCACTCAGGTGTTCAGAGGAACTGGTTCAATAAAACTCAGATGTTCTGTTTGCCATCCATTGACCTAATTCCCTACCCCCTCAGCCTTTAAGAGATTATTCCTCTTTGTGGTGTGAAACCAAACAAGAATGAACAGGTATCTTAGCATTCCATCTCACAAAGGTCAGTGACCAGGAAAGGAATTATTGCAGTGCTGTACAAAACTGCCCCAAATGTTCCCAGGTCTTTGGGATGCAACTAATCTCTGAGATAGGCAGACTATATTCCTCTGACCCAGGGCTATTGTTCCTAATGTTGTCACTGCAGGCCAAATAAACCTTAGATGCATCAGATTTATGCTAGAGAGACGCAAAACTAATCACTTCTTATCTCTCTGGTCATTTTGGAGAAAATCTGCAGGTTTCTCCGTGCCAACCCTAAGGTATACAGTGGTGAAAAGAAGGTAAGGGAAGGTGAGAGGAGATGGAGGAGCAGAGGACTCTCTTTGCTTCCTAGATGAGTCAGGTTGGGGATAGAGCAGGGTACATGCTAGGATACATGGGGCTGCAAAACCAAAACTAATAAGAGTTAGCTAATGATGTCAGTATGGCTGCTTACTTCTGAGAAATAGGCATGAGCTGCTAATTCCAATACCTGTAATAAGCAGTTAATTGAGTTACATTAATACATTATAATACTTTAATTAAATGCCACATTTAAAAAATTACTTAATTTATAAATATCCAGAAGTTCCTTTTTGCTCCTCAAGGTTAAGAGGCATTGGTGCTTGAAATGGTAGTTTAGTGCAATTCTAGTATTCATTAGTTTTCAAATTTTCTTAGGAAGCAGACAGAGTAGAAAGCTTCTGACAAGAAGTAGCTCATTTAGAAAAAGGAATGTTATATAGATCAGGAGAAGGTTTCAAGCCTAGATATTAATCAATAAAATTTTACTCTTGTTCCCCAAATTTCCATATTACCAGGAATATGAGTTCTGATCTACACTTTAAAAAAAAGGCAGGGAGTGTTGATCTCAGAATGAACTGAAATAAATAAAGGATATAGGTTTTCATTGAGCCCTTGAGCATGCATTAATGACACATGTAATCTCTAATTCCTCAGCATATGCAGCTGGAATTCCAAATGCCAAGTTGAAAGGTTTTTAGTGTGTCTAAAATGTTCAACTACCATGCTGAGGAGTTAGGGATCAGCTGCTGACACTACATGCAAAATGAACAGTACTGGTGGTCTACAGTTAGACAATGTGTTTTACAAAAAGACAGACAGGACAGATTATCCTGGCTTGATTTCTTAAAACATGGAACTTTCAAGGAGGAGAATGTTCTTATTGCCTTTTTAACTAGCTCCTATCTTTCTAGTTTCCTCTGGCTTCAACCAGCATAAGGAAGGTACCTGCAGCAACTATTTATTTTTTTCCACTTACCATTTTCATCTACAGCAAGTACACAGGCTCCTTTGGCCAGCAGCTCTTCAACTACCACCTTTAAGCCATTGCGTGCTGCAACATGGAGTGGTCTACAAAACAATACTGAGTATCAGTTGTAATATAAATTTGCATGAGTGCTATAGTTTGGATCTGGAATGGACCCAAAGACCTATGTGTTGGTCCTTAGCTTGGTGCAAACTCAGCATTTTGTGCTATATATTGCTTAAGAATCTTAAATGAAAAAAAATTGGAGTACTCTTTTGTCTTTAAAACAAATGCATAAGTAATTTCCTAAAATAGTGGTGAAACCTTGAACAGGTGGGGTCTATTGGGAAGTTTTAGGTCATTGGAAGCATATCCTCCAGGGGACTGTGGGACCCAGCCCCTTCCTCTTCCTCTCCTTTGTCCTGACCATGAGTGAACAGCTTTGTTCTGCTACATGCTCCCTGCTATGATATGCTATCATGCCCAAAGCAAAGGGGCCAACTGATCATGAATTGAAACCTCACAAATTGTGAGCCAAGATAACCATTTTCTCTTTACAAGTTAATTATCACAGATATTTTATTTAGTAAAGGAAAACTAACACAATGAAAATACAGTATTTTGGTTAGTTTGAGTCACTAAAATGAATACGTAGTTAACAATCTACAAATAGTACATGGATATTTTTATTTTTTTTTAAAAAGATATGTGTTGGCCAGATCTTTTCTAGGTGCTAATGATCCAACTGTTCTTACGTGTTTGCCCAGATTTCCCTACAGATATTACAAATCCTCTGCATCACAAACTATCTCAGCGGCAGTAGATAGGAAGACAAAGGAAGAATTCAAGTTTTGGTGTGTTTTGAAGAAGGTTCTTTATTGCCTGATTTCTACTTCTGAATCTGAGTTGCTGTTTCATATTCTTTATCAATATGACTGGTATTAACATACACTCTTAAGTCTCATTATTATTAAATGCACAGAGATGCTCAACTGAATGTATGATACCTTACATATTGTATAATGTCAAACTCAGCATATTGTGCTATATATTGCTTAAGAATCTTAAATGAAAAAAAAAATTTGAGTACTCCTTTGCCTTTAAAACAAATGCATAAGTAATTCCCTAAAATAGAAAATGAAGCAGCTTTTAGATCCTTCACACCGAGGGTTACACTGAATTATATTAAAATATAATTAAGACAAATAGCTTAGAAACTCTTCAAATGTATTCTTGGAATCTAATTTATAAAACTGTCATTTTCCAGTCAGAATACATAATGCTAATACATAATACAAATAGTTTCCCCAAATATGTCAGCCCGTAAGCCCATAAGATTTTTCTAATAGTTCATTAAATTTACAATGTTACCACAGAAATATCAGCAAAGAGAAACAAAGGCCTCACAAAATTCTGAGAAGGAATATAAAAATAAGAATTCTGAATAAAATTGTCTAGCTAGTCAGCATTTGCAGGCATGTGACTGTAATCTTCATGAAGGGGAAGCCAGGCCTGGCCTCCATCTTTCATCATGGTGTCCCCCACAGCCTGCCTGGCACATGGCAGGCTCTTACATTTTGTCACATGTCTACAACTCTGGGTCAAACTTTAGTAGTTATACTTACGTCTGCAGTGCATTATTTTTTGCATTAATAAGGCTCTCATCTTGTATCTTGTCAAGTATTAACAAGGCACATTTTTCATGACCCTAATAAAGAAAAAGAATAAGAAGAAACATGAGAGGGGGACAGTGAATTTCCTGAAAAATTACTTCATTATGCTTTAAATTGAAACTGAATTGCCTCTAACTAAAAAGCATTCTTCAGGGCTGTTTTCTGAGTCTTTTTTTTTTTTTTTCTAAAATGTCAAGGGACTCCAGATATTCTAAGATTCTCCATTAAATCTATTAGGACTTGGGGTAACATAAATCTGATCTAAAGTACTCATATTTAACATTAATATTTCCAAGATAATTTTTAGAATTAATGTCTAGACTAAAGCAGATGCTAGTTTAGCTAGGTCAGCTGGTAAAGCAGAAATTAAGAGTACCTTTAAATCCTTCAATATTACTTTTAAAACACATACCAGCTCCCACCTTCCTCAAACCTTCACTTATCACTGCATGATCCATTTCCCCTCAGTATTCCCATCAGACCCATTATCTATATCCCTCATCATCATTTACTGCCTTATGTCACGAAGGGGCCCAGTTTAGGGAAACTCATCTTTTCTCACTCAACCAGAGGAAGCTATTACTAGATCTTATGGCAATAGATGGTTGACAATTAAAAAAAAAAATCAGTTATTAAACCAGAGATCCCTTGTAAAGACTTCAAGCCTAGTGCCCTTGTAAGGAGGACATGGTTTCTAAGCCCTTATTAAGCAAGGGCCACAGACCAGGATCATCCTCATCACCTGAGAGTTAGAAATGTTGAATCTTGGACCCCAACCAGACCTAATGAATCAGAATCTGTATTTTAACCAAGTCCCCAGGTGATCCATTTGCACAAAATTCTGAAAAGCACTGTGCTTATATTCACTAAAATACTGCCTCTTGTAAAGAACTCCATGAAACTAGCACTTTTTGTGGTTTCCCTGGATTTCACAGAGCATGAAATGAGAAAATGCAAATGATGCAAGGAAGAGCTGACATTTCTGATACCGTTGGGTTTAGGTGACACCATTAATATCTTTAATTATGTTGCAATAAACCACCATCACTGGTGTCAACTGGCATGATACTATAATGCCTTTTGTGAAATCATACATACACCTATATGTTTATGTGTGTGCTCATGTATGTGGGTACAGATACACATATACATACATACGTTTATCTTTTAAGTAAGCAGGAACACAATGCTATGTAACAAAAAAATTGAATAATGCACCAGGAAAAAGGGGCAAAGGGCAGAAATGTAGGTGGATAGTTATTTGCTTTACAGTAATGTATTTTTTGGTGGTATTATTGCAATGTCTTCAAATTGAACAACAGAACAAGTTGAACTACACACAATCACGCACACACACACACACACACATACACACACACTCTGGGGGATTGGACCCAATGGTACTTTGCCATTAAACTATATCCCTAGCCCTTTTTAAAATTTTTTATTTTGAGCCAGGCCTCACAGAGTTGCTTAGGATGGCCTTGAACTTGAGATTCCTTTGCCTCAGCTTCCCCAGTAGCTGGGATTAAAACTATAAGCCACCGTTCCTGTCCAAATGGCTTGTTTTTTAGAAGTCTAGGTCCTAATCTGCTATGTGATACAAACTATGTTACATGACAGATACAGTGGAAGCATCTAGACTGATGGACTGTGACAAGAAGGCAAGTAGAAAACATGAGGAAAGAAAACCCTTGCCACTCATTCTGGTGGCACATACTCTCATCAACCTGGTGATTCTGCCCTTTCTTTTTCCCCTTTGATTCCACTTATTGTTGACAACATCCTGGGAAAATTAATTAAGAGCCATGTTACACAGTTTCATATTTCTGAGACTGATGGAATTTCAGTGATATGATTACAACATTAAGTAACAGTGTTTTAAATTCATTTACATACTTTACTACTAGCCAAATGTAAGGGCGTATTCAAGTCCTTATCCTTTACAGTCAGATCTGCTTGAGCACTGTTCACCAAAATATCTACAGAAAAAGCCAAAAGAGAGTCAGTTAGATGAGGTGCTAATCACACGCAATTTGAAGAAGACACTATAAAAACAATAACATTTAAAGCAGGATATCTCACATAATCATATTTAATGTTTTTAAAGAAAAAAAAATGAGTAATTTACTGCCATATTTGTTCTGTCCAGATCCAAGGCTGACAGGCTTTAGCTTTAACTGTCCTTACAGTTTCATCATTTCCACTTAAAATGATTCTGTTGTCATATTTGGTTTATCGGTGTTGAAAAATTTCACTGTGGCAGGTTGGCTCTGCGTGAAAATGTTCACCCATGATCAAGTCACAGAGAATTGAGGGCGACTGAGCAAACTCAAGGGGCTTAAGTAAGACTATACTAAAAGAACACTGCTTTCTTCCTTTGTTGTTTTTGGTTTCTGGATAGGCATAAAGGCAAAGTCTATCTGACCAGTACGTACCCACAGCGCCTGCCTGTCCATTCTCAGCAGCCATCATCAGTGGTGTTCTCCCTGAATTATCTACTGCGTTCACTTGAGCATTGTGCCTCAAAAGAAGTTGCAAGCACTCCACATGATCAGCAAATGCTGCCGCATGAAGGGGTGTCCTAAAGATGGCAAACAAACGTGACTTCAGTTTCCTTCAAACTCTGTTCTCTCTTTTGCAACTGCCCAAGAAACATGAGCACAGTGCTGTCTAGGATTTAACATTTGTCAGTTTACAGAGATTATGGACCAAGCTACCTCTGCAAGCCAGTCAGGGTAGACACTGAAGTGTCATCTATGTGAATGATACCTCTTAGATGGGGGGAGGGGGTAATATATGTGGTGGCTTTGATAATGAAATTAGCATCTTCAGTGATTATTTAATCTTGAGTTCTAGTAACTTCTTTGAAATGGATACTTTCAAAATTGACCTTAAATTTGTAGATAATTGGTTGATTAAATAAAATATTTAAAACCCACATTAAATCTAATATGGATGGTTGATTTCTTCAGCAGGACAATTTGGCACTACTTACTAAAATTAAAAACTATCAACCTTTTAATCAAGTAATTCCACTCGTAGGTTGATCTTCTATATATACCTGGTCATGTGTACAGATTCAGATGTGAGAATGTTCACTGTACCACGTCTTTGAATAGAAAAATATTGGAAGTACCCTAAATATTCTTCAATAGAAGACAGGCTGAGTAAAATACTGTAGATGCATTCAATGAAATAATACGAAGATTTTAAATTGGTATGTTCTGGCATGGAAAGCTCTCCAAGATTACTAAAATCAGAACATGGTTACAAAATGCTCCCATTTGCATTAAAACAATTATGCACACACCCACACATATACATATCTATATATCTCTATGTGTTTGTAGATATGCACAGAAAATATTTAGGGGAATATAAAAATGTGGAAAGAACACTGTGCAGTAGTTTTCTCTATGGAAGAAACTGGGGGTTCTGGGCTAAGAGGGAAATTTCTTTTAATTATATAACCTTTATAATATTTAACTTTTAAAACTATGTATTACTTTTTAAAAAACTTTTTTACATACCTTTAGTTATTTTTTGTTTTTATGTGATGCTAAGGATCAAACCCAGTGCTTCACACGTGCTAAGCAAGTGCTCTACTACTGAGCCACAATGCCAGAACTACTTTTCAATTAAAAAAATATGTTTGGCTGTTCTGCATCTGCACAGCAAAGACAAAAGATACTCCTTCTCAGGATGACTTACCTGCCTTTGTCATCTCGACAACTGACAATACTGGAATCCATGGCCCCAAGTAGCAATGATGCACAATTCTCATGATCATTTATTCTAAAATAAAAATGGTTTTTAATGTAAAAAATCTCACTCTTTAAAAAATTACATATTCCTTCCTTACATATTTTTCTACATCCTGTATATCTAACAATCTGGTGCATTTTAAAAAATCTGATGCCAATAGTTCTGGTATGTGTTTCAGTGGTACACATGGTAAGCCTAGCACCTTTTCAGAACCTCTGCATCCAGGTAGCAGTTCACTGCATACCACTTACACTATGTTAAGGCACTTAACATATTAAGTGTTTTGAAGATCCCAAAGTAGGAGAGAAATGGATCCTACAAATTTGAAGTCATTCTGAGACTTTACCACCAGAATTTTCTGTATTCATCTATTTTATGCCTCTAATATCTTTCCAACCAAATGACCCAGCATTGTGTGCAACCCACAGACAACATAAAGTATCCTCAGTTCTTGGACTTCCAGGCTGAAAATGGAAATCTGATTTAAAATCACTGAATTCTCTGAACAATGGCTTATAAGATTAGAGGAGAAATTAGATTTATCAAAAAAGACTTACCACATATGAATAATGGAGAATTACAGTATATGAAAAGTCTTCCTGGTAGAAAATGTGTTTCTAAATATCCATAGGCATATTGTTGTTATCTCTGATTTATTTTAAAAACTCGGCAGACAAATAAACTGTGCCTGAAGAATTCTTCACATCATGTGAAATGTGCCTCTCAGCCCACCCCTTCCTGCAGTTTGCCTAAGGTAGTATGTCAGTCGCCTTGGAACTGTGGCACTCCGTAAGGAGCTTCTGGAAAATCATTAACATTAGGGGCCACACTTTGCTATCAGACTAGCAGAAAAATGGAATATTTTAGTCTTATCTGTAATCTAAAAGCTTTTCCTTCCCTAAAAGGCAATTTTTTTTCTAGATGTAGTCAAAAGAGTTAAAGCAACACCATTACCTTCCAGCATTTCTACTTACATTGCACAGTGCAGTGGAGTAAAAGGATTACCGATAAATTTGCGAAAACACTTTTGCTCCAAAAGTACCTCTATACAGTTTTCATTACCTGAAAGGAATTAAAAGAATTTAGGGAGTTTCCAAGAAAGAAACTTTATTCAACATAGTCTGCTTTATTTTTTTTTTTATTAAGTGTTCATTTCTAGCTTAGGAATTTTCCTAAATTGGCTGACTGCTCATTCTCTGTGGAATAAAATTAACAAAAATGCCCAAGTGTTATTAACTAGGCTCACAGGTGTTCTTAGACGTAATGAACAAATCAGACAGTGAAGGCCATATGGTCTGGTAGAGAGAGAGAGAGAAGACACCTCATTTGCAAACAGATTAGAGTCTGTGTTACCCTCAGCTCTTGATTGATAGATGCCTAACACATATCTACCTCAATTTGCCCATATTTGTAATAGGAAATTTACCTTCCACCTGCTCGAATAGGTTCATTTACCCTAGTGAAGGGGAGATAAGTGATTAGTAGAAAACAGTATTTTGAGATAATGAATGTAAAAAGGCTTTGAATGTAAAATACTATGTGCTTTAAATGGTACCTGGCCAGTAGTAGGCACACAATATTGTTTTCAAAAAGGAGATGAAGAAATGTGAGAATTATCTTTAATAAAATGACAGGTGGCTTCTACATCAACTGAATCTGAGGTAAGATCTAACTCTATCAACTTACTTGTTACATGACCTAGGCAATTTACTTGGGATCTCTGAGCCTCAGTTTCCCATATACAAAGTCGGACTAGGAATAACTGCCCTACCTATGTCTCAGAAGGATGGGAGTTTTACTCCAGGAAAGACCTAGACATGGCTTGTGAAGTGCTGTACAACTATCAGGCAAGAAAACATTTTATGTGGCTTTGGAATACAGACTGGTGTCCTGACTGAACTCAGTTCTAATTTAGCAAAATTCCCTTATGATCTACCTCGGAATGATGAAGATTGGACAACGTAAAATATTAAAACATAAATCCTCCTTTTTTGTACCTAAAAAGAGACAAGCTGATATTAATTTGAGGAGAATCAAGAAGCATATGAAGTAATGAGGGTAGGAAGCCTCGAGTAGGCAAGTTGAATTATCTAGCTTTCCAACAACATCCATCCCTTCCTCCTAAACAGTCCCAGACACCGCAAACCCTTTCATAGTTTGAATCTCCCAAAAGACCTTGCTTCGGGCAATATCTCTATGTACCATTCCTATATGAGTCCCCACCTAAGAGACCACACAGGCAGAACTGGAGATTATCAAACTACTTTCAGTATTTAAAAAAAAAAAGTTATGGAATGATGTTTAATTATGTAACTAAAAACAGATACACATTTGTTCATATTTATTTTTAGTATCAGAGGAAAAATTATGAAAGTTACACACTAAATCACATGAGAAAGTAGGTTTGGAAATGGAAACTTAATTTTACTTAAGACACTGCAATGTTTCAAATGGTATAATGAACAACCCATACCTTCTTATTCAAAAAAGTGAAATAAAAACTTAAAAGTCTCCCAAATATTAAGTGCAAAAAAACAAATGGGGAATATGAAACATAAAAAAGAAATATGAAAAGATAAACCATGCATCTTCTAGTATTCAATTATGACATGTTATTACACCATGTGTTTTTTGTTCAGCTATATTATTTTACTTCTTTGTGGGATTCTTGGTTATCGTACATAGTTCAGAAACTGATTAAAACTGGCTAGGTTCAGGTTAAGATTTATAGGTTACTGATAAACAAAAAGGGGATAGTGAACTTTTACTGGTCTAAGGCATCAGGACAGCCATGGGGGTGGCAAAGGTGGGGATCTATTTTAAAAACCACCAAACAGGCCACAACCAACAAACAAAAAAAAAAACATATCTTGGGTGCAGCAAGAGTGGAAACCATGGCTTATGGCATTATGTTGTGTTCTTGCCTCCACTGAGATTGCAGTGGTCCTCGGGCAGGAAGTCCAGTGGGATTGGTCAAATGCAAGTAACTCACCATTGTAACAAGCCCAGTGCAGCGGCGTGTAGCCTTGGTTGTCTTTGAAACAATAGTCCTCCTCGGAGAGAGTCATTTGGAGCAGTTCACTCAGCCACGTGGCGTGTCCCCGAGCAGCTGCGTAGTGCAAGGGTGTCCTCCCTCTGGAATCTTTACAGAGGATTGACACTTCTTGTTCCAGCAGCATTTGCACACATTCCTCATGCCCGGTCATAATCTGTGCATGGCAAGGAAAACACAAAACAAGACTTAGAAGGGCAGAAGACTCAGGAAGCAAGACAGTTGGTGAGTGAGGCTTGGGCTCACAGTAAGTGCACCTGTGCATGGGCCCTCAGGGAAGCAGGCTCTCTTGGGAGGGAAGTGGGACAACCCCAGCAAAATCTACACCAAAAAAGTCTGTGAGTATCGACATTTTGGAAACATCCCTTGACTCTCCAAATATAACCTGAAAGGTATAGTCGAAAATACCAGCTTTACAAGCAGGAAGATATGAGTAAAATCTTGTCTCCCTACCCCTTGTAAAACTTATGTTAATTCTCCTCTCTCTGCCTCACTTTATTTATCTATACACAGTAATAGAAATAATGATCTCAGAGGCTGTTGTGAGGACTAATGAGATAATACAGTCATGTGATGCTTACCGACTGGGATACATTCTGAGAATTGTGTTAGGTGATTTTGTCATTGTGCGAACAGAGTGTACTTATACTTACACAAATCTAGATGGTATAGCCCAATGCACATGCAGGCTATATAGTCTATTCCTTCTAGGCTACAAACCTGTACAGGATTTTAGTATACCTAACACTGTAGGCAATTGTAATACAATGGTAAGTATGTGTGTATCTAAACATATCTAAACAGAAGAGGTAGAGTACAATATTAGATGATAACAAATTTTCAGCTCCAATATAATATCATGAGATCACCATTGTGAATGTGGTCCATCAATGGCTGAAACGTTGTTATATAGTATGACTATATACGTAAAGGTCGCCAGCCTGTTGCATGGCCCACAGGAAATGTCCAAAAAATAAGAAGTATGACTGTGACAATGACAACATAAAGTCCATCTTCTTTTCACTTTTCAGGGTGTTTACACCATCACCAAATAGCAATTTTATGATTTCTGCTTTTGTGCATTTAGTTTTCTTGGGTATGCTTTAAAAACTACATATCTGCAGAAATGTACAAAGAATTGTCCAAAGAATATATACTCTGGCATCATTTGTAATGAACAACAATTAGAAATTGCAAGACTACTCAAAACCAGGTAATCACTAAGAGAAGTTATGGCACATACATAAAATGGAGCATTAGAAATGATGGTATGGAAAACTATTTAATGATATCAAAAAAGTTCCTTAACATACTAAAAGAAAAAAAAGTCATATTCCAAATTGTACCTTCACTATTCTCTCTTATTGAAGGTTTAAGAGAAATTTATATACAGGAATGAAAAAAAAAAAGATTGGTAATACATATACACCAAAAGTGGTTATCTCTGGGAGATATGATTGCTGGAGATTGTGGTTTTCTGCCTTTGTGCTTTTCAAAAAACATTTTGCAAATTTTCTCCAATGTTCATGTACTTTATAATCAGAAACAGACCCAATCCCACTAATAGTAGGTGTTCATGTACCTACTTATCATACTCTAACACGGAATCTTAAGATCAGGACTTAAGGGTACTTTTTGTTATTGTACCGTTGCATGAGTTGTTGATTTCTTTCTCTTTTTTTCCTTTCGGTCACTTTTGTTCTCCAGAAGCAGCTTCCTTGTTCACAGAGTCTGTGGGCCCTGATTTTGTTATCTGGGAAGTTCATAGTTGTCTCTTACCCTTGTTTCCTATATCTGCAGTGTTGGGGAGTTTGTCCTCTTGAGGACTACACCAGTTTACACAGCCCAGTTCTAGCAGGTGCACTCTTGGGGGCTGAGGGTCCCTTTAAGGATCAAATAGTCACCAGCATTTGTAAACTGGGCTTGTAGTTTGGTAACGCAGTTCCCTCAAACACTTAACTGTAGTCAGCTTCTGCTAATCAGCTGACATGAAGGTAATCTCACTCCAAGATTCCTTCCAGACAGAGAGTCCTTGCCTTTTGTACATGGCTCATTCCTTTTTCCCTCAATTGAATGGACTGAGATCATAGGAAACAACGGGCTTCCACGTGATTTTGTAATTTCCTTTTGACTGGCTGAGGTTAACTGGCTATATTATGAAACAATTTTTTTGTACTATAAATTCAAATAGGGAAAGAAAAAAGGAGACAAGCTCATTGAAACAGTGCCGATGAAAGCTGAGAAATATGTACATACCCCTCTGTGTAAAGCTGTGCATCCCATGATGTCAACAGCATCCACATTTGCTTCCTTTTCAAGTAACAATGAAACAGCATCAATATGTCCATATGCCACTGCGAGCATAAGTGGGGTTCTAGGAAGAGAGATGAACAGCCTTTAAAAAGGATATAACAAATACTTCTAGGGGGAGGATGTCTCTCTTTTTATTCTTGACAATTGCTGTGTATTTTCTGTGTCTCCAATTTGCTATATGATATGTAGATATAGGAATCTGCCTCTGTTCTAACAGGGCACTGGTGGAATGATTTCTAGGGGTGCAGGGGAAGGCTCCTTCTCAAAATATTCATGCTAATCCCATCATTTTTAGAAGAAAATTTAGAATTCTTTTTGACCCAGTTATCCCACTCCTTGGTATATATCCAAAGGACTTAAAATCATCATACTACAGTGACACAGCCATATCAATGTTTATAGCAGCACAATTCACAATAGCTAAGCTATGGGACCTACCTAGGTACCCTTCAACAGATGAATGGATAAACAAAATGTGGTATATATACATAATGGAGTATTATTTAACCATAAAGAAGAATGCTTTATGACATTTGCTGGTAAATGGATGGATCTGGAGACTATCAGATAAGTGAAATAAGCCCTTCTCAAATAATCAAAGGTCACATATTTTCTCTGATATGTGGAAGCTAATGCACAATAAGGTGAGGGGGTGAAGAATAAAAATTCAGTAGAGTAGACAAAAGAGAATGAAGGGAAGCGGGGTGGGAGATGGGAAAAGGAAAGACAGTGGAATGAATCTGACATAACTTTCCTATGTACATACACGAATACACCACAGTGAATCTCACCATTGTGTACATTCACAATAAATTAATTTTAAAGAATAACTATGGGTAAATGGCAGAAAGATCAGTAGAAGGAAGGAAACAGGGTGTGGGGAGAGGGAAGGGGAAGGAGAGGTACTGGGGTCTGACTTAGAACAAGATATATTCCACGATTTTACAACTATGTCGTAATGGATTCTACTGTCATGTATAATTAAAATGAACCAAATTTAAAAAGATGGAGAGAAAGAGGAAACAAAGGTGGGAATATATATATTTTAAAAAGCCAGGAAATACAGAAACAGCCAGATAAAGGTGATTTTTTCCCCCATGGAAATATATGGCCACCCCACCCCCACGTGCTCTTCCCTAATACACACTGCAGCGCAAAGCACCTCATTATTCTAGGGCCCTCACCCGTGAATTTCATCCAGATATATATCTCCCCAACCTAGAATTCAGCAGTCAGCCCTCTTAGCTGCTTAACAGAGCAACCAATTACCTCTTGTGATTGAAACATCAACCCGAGGCCAAGTGTGGGAACACTTACTGTCCTTTGGCATCTTTCACATCAACCACTTCAGGGTTGTCTGAAATTTCTAATAATAGCCGCAAACACAGGGTGTGACCATTAATGACTGAAAAAGAAAAGAATGGACACTGTTTTAACTACAGATCTCCCTCCAAAGTGAAACTTTCTTGGGCTTCAAATCAGTGACTTGCATTGCCACCGACAGATGTCCCTGGGTCTCCAGTCTGTGATGGCGTGGGGGCACAGCCTGCCCTGGTGTTCATTTGTTTTCCCCTTTCTTCCTGTGAAGGAATCTGGTCCTCACCTTCCTTGTCTGGCTTCTGTGTCGAGCGGTTTTTCTTAACCTCGACATTCTTTCTTATGTCCGTGGAGAGGACTAGGATCTCTCCCCACTTGTCAGTCCCTCCCTTTGTTCCTCTAAGAGACTCACTCAGTTCTATATAATCATGCTGTGTCTACCTGCCTCCAGAAGAAAGGAGGAGGAGGAGGAAAAGAGAGAGGAGGGAACAGGGGAGCAGGAATAGTATAGGAGGAGGGAGGAGAAGGGGAGATGAAGGAGCGGGGAAGGGGTGGGGTGGAAGAAAGGTCCCGGGGAGAACAGAACAGGCCCTGCCTCTTCTTCGGGGTCATTCTGAGGTAGACATTCTAACAATAGTTGTCACTGATCAGTGGTAGCCTAAAGTAAAACATCAAGGCACAAAAGCGTACATGATCGATATGGTCCCTGCTCATTGGTGACTGACTGGCACTCTTAGGAGATGTAGGAATGGGCCCCTGTGGTATCCTGATGTTCCTCAAACCACAGCCTTTGTTCTCTGCTTTCCAGTGTCTCTTGTACAATGCAGGCTGCCCTCAGGCTGCCTCCCTCCTCTGCTTACCCTTTCCTGCCCAGTGGTAAATCAGATGCCATCTAGGTCCCTTGCTAGGGCCACTGGCCCTCAACTGCCCCCTCCTTGCCCAACAGACCCTTCAGTGTACAAGAATGTGGCCCCAACCCTGTCTCAGCCTTGACTGGCTGGGAAAGAGGCTGGGCAGGAGGCAGAAGTCTGAGCACCTGGCAAGTTGCTTCTTTTGGGAATTCTTGGTGCCTGGGGTTGTGTGGGTACTGGGATGTAAACCTCCCGGGGATGACAGTGCCCTGGACTAAGGTACTTTCTTCCAGTTTGCTGAATGAAACCCTGAAAAGGTCTTATAATAGACATGGCTCTCAGGGAATAAGATGAGAAAAAATATGTTTAAAACTGCAGACACGACCTACTCTCCTCTCTGAACAATAAGAACACCATAAAATACATTGAATTTCCCCTGTTATGGATGTGGAGAATAGAGGCAGCTATGTCACAATGATAAAGGCTCTTCTCAGAGCTGCATTTTACAGTGCTTTTATTGCTTGCCAGTCTTGAGAGAATGCTAATTTAACATCGACACAGTTTTCAGAGACAATACATATTAGAATTAGCTCACATTTGTCGGCACCATTCAAATGAACTGCAGGAATAATGCCCACATTTTGTAGACCATTGCATTCAGCTCATTCTCAGCAACATTCCATTTATGTATCTCTAGAGGAAATTTCGTGGATCAGAGTTATAGGTAATACATTGTGTTGCTGTTGTCTTTTTTTTTTTTCCTAAAATTACACTAAATCTGTTACCATTGTTGGAAAATACAAGGAATTTAATGTATGCCTAAAGGACAGGATTACCAAAGGACTGACAGCTGTGTTCCTGATGGTGGAAAAATAATATACTTTGACCATTTCCTGTTTCTATATCAAAATGATAGTCTTTAAGTGTTCAAAATCACACTAATTCCAAGGATATTTGAATTTGGGCTAAACATAAGAGGAACACAATAATCTAAGTCCATATCACTCATCCAGTGTGTTGGACAGCAAAACAATTTCTATAGTTGTTGTTGTTCTTCTTCTTCTTTTTTGAAGGGGGGTACATTAGCTTTTTAAACTTAACTAGTAGTCCTTAGGAAAATTTATGTGCCCCTTAGTGTGAAAGTGTAGCCAAACTTGAATTCTTCTTGGCTTCCCATATACTACATTTCCTCCCCAACTGCCTTCTAGCAAAAAGATGTTAACATCTTCAGCTGTGCCCTGCTCTCTCCAGCTTTGTCTCAGACCAGTTCAGCCTCTCCATGGCTGTAAGTGACAGCCATTTTTCTTGCTACTTAAAAAACACAACTGTCACTGCATCCATCTGTGCCCAAACCTCTAATATCCATCCTGGCTGCCACTCCTTACAGTACTCTGAGGATTTGAAACAAGAAAATGGGCCTCTCCAGGGAGTTGAAAAAGATTCTGGGTAAGCAGATCCTCAAGCCACAGGCTAAAGTTCCTGCACAGCAGACATTTTGTAGAGTACAGCATTAGATGACAGCCTGCGTCTTTTTAATGAATGACGCGAAGGAAACCTGAAGGGAGCGAGTCTTCTTTACCACTAGGGGGCGCCCTTGGACCACACCTACATGACAATTGTGCCTCACTGTTCACCTGTTTATACAGGGCAGTCTTCCACATTTGAACATTATTAATTATACCCAAAACGCCAGGGTGGCCAAAAGACTAAATGTGATGGGAAGTAAGAATTTGTTATTCAATGACACCAAACATCACTGACCTCATGGTTAAAGTTTTTTCCAGCAACAATCATTTCCAGATATTTAGACAACAGGTTTTTTTTCAGTCTCTGTATTCTATCTTTTCACTGGGTTGGAAGTTAAGAAATGGCTGTGGAAATACTTCTACAAAGTCTATCATTCCCAGAAAGTTTTCCCCAATAACAAGAATCATAAAGTTAAGTGGGGGGGGGGTGCGGGAACTATCTTCATTTAATTTTCAATACAACCACATTTCATTGTGTAAGTTGCTTTTATTTATCAGACCATGCCTACTAAAATCCCATCAAAGGCTAATATTAGTAACTTTCCTGGGCCCAAAGGTATTTATGCCTTAGCTGAGGCAGAGACTCTTCTACCTTATCTTTATATCTGTGTGTGTACATCTATAAATATTGAAGGTGGAAGAATAACTGCATGAATTAATGTTTTCTCACACCTATCAGTTCAGTCCTAACCACATCAACTGACAAGCATTGGAGGAAACTCCCAGAAAAGACAAACTTCTTACTTTTTGATATATACATGTACTTTTTAAGAGTCTCTATTTTTACATTGGATGCATCAAGAAACAGAGCAAAAGCTAAAGAGCATCATTTAGGTTGGTAGAATGATGTACTGATTGGATCACAGTCTGATGTTTCTCTACACGAAATAGACCTGCAATATCATTAATGTCATGCTTTAAAATGCCACGTGATTTTGATGTGGTTTGTTCTATAGAACTTATTCTGAGGATCACATTTTATCTTGACCTTTTTTCCACAAAGTTTTGTGGGAGCCTTTTGGTCAAAGGTTCGGAACAGTCTTTTGGGTTAAGAAAAACAACAACAACAATAAAAAGAGGCTTTTGGCCAGAGAACACCAGAGAACACCAATCATCTCCAAAGGGATATCAGATCAAAAATTTTTGGAAATATGTAGATCTGTGATATTGAAAGAAAATCAATATTATAAAAATGGGGGTTCAAGAGGATTCTGCCACTTTTTTATTCAAACAATGAATAAAACTAGGGTCACTAGACCCTTGACAAGTCTTACCTGAGGCGTGAAGTGGGGTTCTTTTGGTTACATTGTCTTTCACAAAGATGGATGCTCCCTGATTGACAAGTGCTTCCACACATTCTGTGTGTCCCTTAAAGGCGGCCAGATCCAGAGCCGTGCGGCCTTTCTCGTCCCTGATGTCCAGGTCCACCAGCGACTGCAAAAGGACCTCCAAGGCTTGATGGTGCCCATTGTAGGCCTATAAAGAAGAAGGCAGGGATTTGCAAGCTCACTCACTTCATATCCCACATAATCCAGACTAAGGGCTGAGCTTCCAAGGCCACTCCGAAGAGCAAAGCAGAAAATCCCTTGGGTTTTCCGGCAAATCAGAGCATTAGACACACAAACCTCACAGTTACATGTGAATTTCTTCATGTTCTTTCTCTTTTGTCAAATAATTTGCTGCAAAGGCACAAAGTGCATTAATGTATTTTTTATACCTACCAATCTAATTATCTAATATACAATGAATAATTGCATGAATTAATATTTTCTTGCACCTTTCAGTTCAGTTCTAACCACATCAACTGACAAAACGAGGAAAAAATTCAGGAGTGTTTTCTGTTAGCAAAGTTGGAGGAAAAAAATTACTAAAAACATCCTGGGGTTTGGAATTCCACAGAGGCAGGTAGACCTTTCCTTCCAGTCTAACCTTGACTAAATCAACCATGTGACCATGTGACCATATGACCTTAGGCAAGTTTTCTTAATTGCACTTAGAGTTTGTTTCCTCATCTATCAAATGAGAGCAATAAAAGCTGCCTCCTGGGGTTGGTGTGAAGATGAAAAGAGAAAAATTACACGGGCCTTGCATAATGTCTTCTGTGTAGTTGATGCTTCTTCCCTCCTTTATTTCTTCCACTGATTATAATCAAACCATAGAAACAATTAAGGAAATATATACCATGTACCAGTGCCAAGTTCAGATCTATTATGAGATCCTATGGTATGTCAAGATTAAGAAACTTTATACTACTAAAAAGCAAGACTAAAATTTTGAAAGATAATAATTAGTCAGTCTTTAAGGTAAAAAATGTATATACTTCTCCACCCGCCACTCCCAACAGGCAAGGGACATTGAAAATAAAAGAGAAATGGGGAGTAAGATTGTCTGGAGAAAAACGGATCAGAGAGGGAAGTAAAAAAAGAAATAGAGAGGAAAACATGTCCCCAAAGTCTAGTCAAAGTTCCCTCTTTTGTTACCTGCACCTTTTATTTTCCACAGCAGCTATTACTGAAGGCCCATTTTATTTGAAAAAAAGGCTTAGCACAAAGGATTAATCGCCTTAATATAAAAAGAGCTCTTAGAAACCATTTTAAAAACTAGGAAAATGTACAAAGGGCATGAAAAGGCAGATCACAGAAAAAGAAACGTAAAAGGCCAACAGACATATGAAAAACTATGCAAATTTTTAAAGCACTATTTTCAACTGCCAGATTGGCAATGATTAAAAAGTTTGGTCATGTCCAATATTAGTTGAGACTGTGAAAAAAGCAATCTGATACTCGGTTGGTGGGAGTACAGATTGGTATGACATTTGTGAAGGGTGACTTGACAGTATCTATAAAAATTTTTTTAAAAGAAACTAAGTTGCAGATGGTATATATAGCATGACCTCATTTATATAAAAAGCAAACATATGCATTATATACATATTTATATATAGTTCTATGTTCATAGAAAATTTTCAGAAGGATATAAAAGAAGTTATTGATAGTGGTTACCTCTAGAACTGGGAGAGAGAATAATGAGCATATGGACTTAGTTCACCTTATCTTTTAAAAAATAGTTTAAATGTTTTTCCTCCTGAGTATATGTTAACAACACTAACAAACACTAGATATAAAATAATTCATAGAAACTAAGAGCACTGATACATTTATTTATTTATTTTTTAAAAAGTTTGTTTAGTTGTAGATGGACACAACACCTTTATTTTGTTTATTTACTTTAATGTGGTGCTGAGGATTGAACCCAGTGCCTCACACATGCTAGGCAAGCATTCTGCCACTGCGCTATAGCTCAGTACCCTCTAGAGTACTGATACATTTAAAAAGGACTTTATCATTACATTTTTTTTGTTAATGTTTGGTGTTATTGTTACATATTAAACATACATTATATATAATATGCAATGTAATAACTCATAAATTAATGAACCCCAAATTTATATCCTAGTCCCAACCTCTCCCTTTACTTCTAGCTTGTATATCGCACCACCTCTTGGTATTTCCACTTAAAATGTTTAACAGGCATCCCAAACTCAGTTCTTAATTTTCCTCCACAAACATGTTCTATCTGCAACCTTCCCATTTCAGTAAATGGCAACTTTATCCTTATGGTTGCACAAGCCCCAAAGCTTGGAGTTATTTTTGTCTTCCCTGTTCTTCAGTACAAACCGTAGCCCTGTACAAGGTTCTGAGACAATAGTACAAGTGGGCACTGAAGAATAGCTCCTCCCACCTTGCATGCCTTGGTGCCGGGGGCATATCTGCTGAGAGGAAGGCATATCTTTCCTTACTCGCTCAGAAGGGTCATGGATTCACAGGTATCCACAGGAAAATGACTACCCATATACCTGCCTCCCCCTTTTAAGTTTTAATTGCAATTATTAATACGTTAATTGTACAAATCAATGGGTTTCAGTGTCATTTCCATACCTGCAGATATCATTCTTTGACCACATCCCCCTCCTTGGCCTCTCTCCCCTCTCCTAAGCAAAAAGAACAATGCTGGAGGCATCACGATACCTGATTTCATATCCCTGTTCTAATTCACATGAAGGTGTGGTTTTTCAAGTAGCAGCCCTCTATGCCCCTTCCCAGGTGTCACCATCTCTACTCTTTCTTTACAATGTGTCTAGAATCTACCCACTTCTCACTACTACCTTTCTGTATAATGCATAATGTTTTGCCATAATCCTGGAAAAAGCTTCCCTTCCCATCCTGTCCCCCCACAATTTATTACTGATACAGCCACCAGATGACACCTTCCCAAACCCAAGCTGGATCATATCGCTCCTTGTTTAAAACTAATCTATAGCTTTTTCCCTCATTGGTAATGAAATCCAAAGTCAGGTCCTCAGGATCTGGCTTCCCCTACCCTCATCTTCTGCACATCCCTTTGCTCACACTCACCCCCTCTGAGTTAAACATATACTTTTCCTACTCTGGGTCATTGCACCTTTCTGTTTCTTGTGTCTGGAAAGCTCTTCCTCCAGAGAGACACATAGCTCTCTGGTACTTCTTTTGGAATACCACCTTATCAGAGAAGCTTCCCAGAGAAGCTGGTGTGAAATAGCCCTCCACTCTCCACCCCACTTAGCCTGCTTTACTTTGTCTTCATAGCATGTATTACCATCTGATATCCATTATGTGTCTATTGATTTGTTTGTCTGTGACTGATGGGACTTTATGCGGGCTGTTCACTGTTATATCCTACAATCATGCTTGACACAGGAGGTGCAGAATAATTATTTGATGAATAAATGAATGACTATTATCATTTATTCATTTTAGTGGTATAAATACATTCTTTAAATAGCAAAGATTTATTAAGGGATTGTTATGTGTGGGGCACCATGATGAGGGTCTAGCATCTTGTTTAATCTTTGCAAACATCCTTTTTCATTGATGAAAAGCACAGAACCAGCAGTTTTAATGCACTCATTTGTGACCATTTAGCTAGTGACAAATCAGGCTCTGAAACCCAGAATCTGTAACCTAAAAGCATGCTTGAAGCATATACTTTTCCCCAGTAATTCCATTTAGTTGACTTTCAAGCTAATACTTTTGTGTTTACATGTAATAGAACAGGACTGAATAACAACACTGAATCAAAACCAAAACTCCTGCTATAGAAGGCTCAACACAGAGATAAAGTGATTTGAATAGAGCCATAGAGCAAGAAGGTACACCTCGGGGACTAATTTCTGAACTATTGCTCTTTTACTGCACACACAGCCTCTCTTGAAATAGAAAAACAAATTCCCATATGTCTAACTTTCTGATCTATACTCACTGTACAAACCATAACTGCATGGGACAGTGAGCTTTCATTCCAACCTGAATTCTAAACCAACAGCTAACTTCTCCTGACAGACTACTGTGCATCAGACAGCATGCACTGGACATGTGTTACCTCATTTAATTCTCACAACAGTCAGCGTTTAGATATTCTTGTTATCCTCATTTTATCAATGACGACTGAGTTTTTCTTGGAGAACCTGTGTTTCAAAGGTGGAGACTTACCTGCAGGCTTTTTAAGAGAGAATATGAAAAGGATGCTATATGGCTCTAAGGAGGTATCTCTTTAACTTTTTATTATAGGAAACTTCAAACATACACACACACACTCACACACTCACACACACACACACACACACAGATAATGAATTCTTATATATACCCTTCAACCAGTTGCAGCCATTATCAAATCAGGCTACAGGTGATTTTAAGCTAACTTGGGAGCATCTAATCTTATATAAAGGGCTGTGGTAATAGAGGCATCTACAACATGATGTGAGTCAGTCTTGTGCTTCACTATGAGCTTCAATCTGTTGCTTATTTGAAAAATGACTTTGCAAAATGCTTCATCCCATTTTCAACTGTAATGGTAGCCACTGATTCAACTTATGTAGAAATCACGACTCTGCATCAAAGGAAAATGAGCCCATGTAGACAACAGCAGGGTCTAGATGCTATTTGCGAATACTGGCTCCTTCAGTGTTATGACACGGACAGTAAGGACTTTAATCTCTGTTAATTTGACTTGGCCTAGGAAAATGGAATTGGAAATTTATAATACATCCATGTATCCAAAGCACAATGGCTCATGCACTTAGGTTTAGAGAAGAAACACAGGGGAATGAGAAAGATCCAGGAGGGAAACTGGTAGGAAGGAGTCAGCACTGTCCAGAACAACAGAGTCATAACACAGGGCGCTGTGTGGTGCTGACTTCAGAACTTGCCCCTGCAGAAGATCCCTGCACTTTTCCCTTTAATCCTCACAACAAAAAATAAACTCATCAGTTTGTGTTAAAGAAGCTTAATATTAAAATAAAATGAAGCGAATGGCTGTAATCCCAGCCACTCAGGAGGCTGAGGCAGGAGGATCACAAGTTTGAAGCCAGCCAGGGCAACTTAGCGAGACCCCGTTTCAAAATAAATATAATAATAATAATAAAAAATTAAAAGGGCTTGGGATGTAGATTTTTTTCAAAAAGTGAATCTGTTAAGTAGAAAAGTTTTAGAATTTCAATCCATACTTTCTTCTATATCAGGAACTTGAAGATGCTCTTAAAGACAGAATGATTGAAAGGCCAGATTGATCTATAGAATTTTTCATGCTTCTTCCTTTAGTTTACCTTGCAGCACTTGAACTTTATGCATAAAGCCTTCATTGGAAGTTCAATCAGGCTTTTAAATGATTTTAAGAAATAACTTCTTTTAAAAAACACCTCATTAGGATAACTTCTATTTCTTAAACATGATTAATTTCTCCAAACTTTTTTCCATAGGAACTAAGGGCAACAGGGGAAAGAATTAGGACCTCATCAGAGTCCATGAAAAGAATGGGTCCATCTGGAAATCTTAACAGCTGGAGGCTTTCATTTGCATAATCTTCTCTCTTAATTTTTTTCAAGCTGATGAAATGTTTATGAAACTCACTAGGCTGATAACCCTGGAGACCTGAATCGTTCAGACAGGAAATAGTGACTTAAGGCAGGTCAGGTCTCTTGTAGCAGTTAAGGTTTGAAGGTGTTAGGGGGCATCTGATTCCATTTCTAGAGTGCTTCCACTCAAGAAATTATGTGCCTTGGGTTTTATCATGTTAATTGCTAAAGAGACTAGAGAACCTAGGAGAGGGTGGGCATACTTATGAGATTCTTGAAGCAAAAGATTAAAAAAAAAAAAAAAGCATTAGACTTTAGAGGGAAAGAACAAAATCTTTTTAGAACTAACCCACTGTGATTACCTTGGTTCAAGTCATCATTGTCATTTCCTTCCTGGTTATCTTGCTTCAGCTTTTGAGCCCTTATAATTTAGCACAGAAGTTAAGTGAGCCTTAGAACAGAAACCCTGCACCTAACAGAAGAAAAAGTAGGTCCAAATCTCCACCATTATCAGCTTAGGAACTGACTTCCTTAACGAGACTCCTAAAGCCCAAGAAGTAAAATCAAGAATCAATAAATGGGATGGAATCAAATCAAAAAGCTTCTTCACAACACAGGAAATAATCAAGAACATGAAGATAGAGCCTAAAAAATGGGAGAAAATCTCTACCACACACACCTCAGATAGAGCATTAATCTCCAGGATATACAAAGAGCACAAAAAACAAACCCAATCAATAAATTGACTAAGGAAATGAACAGACATGTTACAGAAGAAGAAATACAAAATCAATAAACAAATATATTAAAAAAATGTTCAACGTATCATGTCATTTGTCTCCTCAAAACTGTACAAATAGTTTCCTATTTTGCTCAGAGTAAAAGCCAAAGTTCTTAGAATGGACTATGAGGCCCTCGGGATCTATGGCAGCCCTCCCACCACTCCACACTCTCCACAGTATGTCCTCCTCACCATTCTCCCTTACCACCCTGCTCTAGCCACAGGGGCCTCTTTGCTGTTCTATGGACATGCCAAACATGCCCTCACTCCAGGACTTTGCACTTGTGCCCAGAAACACCTTCTGTCAGACATGGACATAAGTAGCTCTATAAGTCTCTGTTCAAATATGAGATTCTATGTTATATAAAATAGCACCCTGTCTACCACCTTGATACTCTCTCTCTCATGGATCTCATTCATTTTCTTTACCACTCCTTACCATCTTTCATGGTATATATTATTTGCCTAATGTCTCTTCTAGCTGGGAAACTCTCCAAGGACAGAGACCGGGATTTCTTTACTGCAACACCTCCAGCTTCTAGAAGAACACTTGGCAGTACTCACAGTCAGTATATGTTGAAGGAAAGAATGATATCAATGTTAATAATGATAAGGCTGAAGCCAGCTCATCTAATCACTTTATAAGCATTGCCACAATGACCCCTGATGAAGTACTACTATTCTCATATTTTGAGTAGAGAAACTGAGACACAAAAGATTAGGCACTTGGCCCAGATCACACAGTTAACAATTAAACAAATTAACAAATTGGGAAGTGTCCTTAGAAACCTCAGCTAATTTACTCCTTCATTTATAGGTGGGAAAACCATGTCCAGGTGAGTTAGCTGGGACCTCCTCTCTGTGTGCTTCCTTGACCCCTGCCAGCTGCAGGACAACTGAAGCCAAATCTTTCCAATGATATCATCACCCTGTCTTTATAGGGCTGGAGCCCCATGGAGATCAGAGAGAACTGGCACACAGTAAGCACTTCACAAATAATCTTTGACAAAAATGAATGAGAGATGATAGAGTTTTTGGAATCCAAGAAACTCTCTCTCAGATTAATAAATAGTAGGTTTGGCAGTGCAATTACTTTCAAAGGGCACGAGAATTCTGTCTGAGAGAACTCTCTGCACAGGCCTCTCTGGGGGCAGCCAGGGCTATTTTGTGAATTCTTACTCTTGGGGAAGCTTCCCTAGGCACAGCAGATGGCTGGGCAGGGATTCTAAAGAGCAAATCTTTAGAGCAACCTGTGTTAATAGCCAACTGGTATGAAGCTTTTTACATATACATATCCCACTCTCTACCCATTTCTCCACTTGATGTCCACCTCCAGGAACAGAGAGGTGACCATATCACTGCACTCAACATGAGTGTGTGCACACACATGTGCATGTGCCGGTATGTATAGTGGCTGCATTGGTGGGTGTGGCAGAGGATTGTGACTGGGGCGTCAGCAGGTGTGCTGTTGAGTACATGGAGAGACAGGTAGGAAGGGAGGGCTCCATGCATGCACCATGATCAGTTCTGGGTACTCCCAATCCTTGTGCCATTGATGGCCTTATCTACCCCTATTCTGCATGAGTGCCTAAGTGTCTCTATTAATAAAAAAAATTTCTCTCTCCTACTTCTCCATCTAATTTTTTAAAAATCAGAACACCACTGAAGAACTGGTTAGACATGCATAAGTGAAATATCATAACAACAGTTAAACTTTGACATACCCCCTTCCCATTTTTCCCAGAGTTCTGCCCCTTCTTTACTAAGTAAAGAAGCATCCAGACCATGAACTGAGTGCTTGCAATTCAGCAGCACTCTGGGCAGGTGAGGTGGCTGTGGCCCAGTGTGACCACCAGACAGCTGGGCTCTTCAGCACAGCCACTGATCACCAATGGCCAGCTGGACAGGATGCAAGGCAGAGCAGCAGAAGTGATTCCCACACTGGTGCCCCATGAAGAGTCTCCGGTTCCCCACTCCGAGCTGCTGCATTTCTCTTTGATTACTGGGGTGTGGTAAGGAAGCTTTATTGGTGATAAGACAACTCTTCTTCCTCTCCATCCCAGATCTCACCCAGTATAAGAACTGGAGTCTAAGACTTCCTCTAAGACTTTGATGTCAAGTCCAATTAGAATACAATTGCAATTCTATACCTGTTCACTTCTCTTATAAGTTGGTGCCTAAAAACCCTGATAGGTTTTAATTGTGTTATATGAATAGGCTTAAAATTTGCATATTATTGTCTAAGAGCAAATTTCTTAAACAAAAATGTTTTTTTTTAATTTTAAAGATGGCTAAATGTTATAAAGTATGCTGTTGTAAAGACTGTATGTACATTTTATCTTTTCATTTGTTCTCATTTTACAGATGGGGAAACTGAGGCTCAGCACAGGGTAGGTAATGTGTTTAAGGTCACCAACTGGTAAAGCTGGAACCGCGAGTTGAAGTAGTCTTTCTCTCTGCAGCCTGGACCTTTAACCATGTCTTACTTTCATATCACTACTTACTCATTACTATGCTTACATTTCAAGAGCAGCCTAGTTTTATCAATGCTTAGATTCTTTTTCTAACAGGGGAGGTGGCCCACAGCCTCTCACTTACAGCTAAGTGGAGTGGACTCTTGGTAGCACCGGAATCTGATTCTTCAAAACCATTGTTGGTTCTTTCCAAAAGCTGTGGAGACAAAAAAGAAAGCAACAGTATTAAATTCAATTTTACAAAAGAAATAGTAGTTTGTAGAAACTAAGTGAAAAAAGGAGACTTCAGAAACTTAAGAAACTATGTAGCTTATCAACACTTTAAGAAAGCAAATATAGCTTATCTAAAACAAATATGCTGACAAGAATATTTAAGCTTCTAGATCTTTCAGCATTTGCTATTAAAAATGCCTTCCTATTTGAAAAGAAGCTTTGCTTTGCTCATCCAGAAAAATAGTGCACTTCTAATCCATCTTCACCTAGTGTCCTGTTCTCACACAGCTTACACTTTAGAAAAAGAAAGTATAGATAGATAGACAGGCAAATATATATAAGTAGGAAAATATTTAGAAGTGATATGTGCTATGATAAAAACAAAATAGGTATAATGTAATATATGCTGATAGGAGGATTACTTTAGAGCAGAAGATCAGGGAAGGCTTCTCCAAGGAGGTGATATTTAGAGTCCTGAATAATAAGACCTAAGCCAGATAAAAGAGTGGCAGAGAGCACAGGGAGAAGGGAGAAATCAATAGAATGCATCAAGTAGAGACAACATGGCAAGTTCAAGGAACAAAAATGTCACTGTGGCCAAGCCATGGTGTTGGTAAAGGTGCCAGGAAAATGACATTCTCATGGAACCCTGGAAGGAGAACAAATTGCCAAAACCTTTATAGGCAATTTATGTGTATTTCTCACCCTAGGAATTAATAAATAAATAGATTCATGCTCAATGAGGCATGTATAAAGAAATTTATTAATTTTGACAAACACTTCATGAATAATTACCATGTATTTAGATACTGTACAATGTACTGAGGATTCAATAATAAAGTATTTAAAAATAGATTTTCTCATGGAGGGGGGGACATGCAATAAAAGAAAAAAGTTATGTAATTCACTAGAAAGTTTGAGGTGCTCCTGAAGAATTAAAACTCATCTCACTACAGTGATACCTGTACAACCATGTTTATAACAGCACAATTCACAATAGCCAAACTATGGAAGCAGCCTAGGTTTCATCAACAGATGAATGGATACAAGAAAATGTGGTATACACACACAATGGAGTTTTATTCAGCCATAAAGAAAAACGAAATGACATTTGCAGAAAAATGAATGGAACTAGAGACCATTATGTTAAGTGAAATAAGTCAAACACAGAAGCTTAAAGATTGTATGTTTTCTCTCATATGTGGAAGGAAAAAAGCAAACAAAGGTGGAAGTGGAGGTCCTAAATATCAAAGGGGGATCATCAGAGGAAGGGGACTAAGGGGTAAGAAGCAGGGAGGGAGGGGGGAAGTGCTGAGGAGTGTGACATTGGTTAAATTATATTGTTATATTGTGTGCATGTACAAATATGTAAAAACAAATCCCACCAATATGTACAACTGTAAGGAGCCAGTAAAAAATGTGGGGGGAAAAAGAGAAAGTTTGAGGTGCTATGGAGGAAAATGAAGCAGAGGAGGGGAGTTTGGAGAGCTCAAGGGGAAACCATTTGGCAATTTTAAGGAGGGTGATCAGTGAGGGCCTTCCTGAGTGGGCGACAGCCCCATCCCATCTTGAGAGAGATGAGGGAAATTTGTGGATATCTGGGGAAAGAGCATTCCAAGCTGAGGGGTCAGTAATTGCCAAGACTCCCAGGGATAGGGGTACTTAAAAACATCAAGGAGGCAAGAATAAAGTGAGCCAGCATGCAGGGGAGGAGAGCCCTGGGGGTTGCTGTAAGGATTCTTATTCCAAGTGAGATGGAAATTCACTAAGATGTCATTCTTTTGAGCAAAGGAGTGACATGATCTAACTTTGACACTCTAGGGAAGCAAGGATGGAAGAGACCACTCAGGAGCTGAATTCACAGTCCATGAGAGAAATAACAATGGCTTAGAACAGCAGGAAACGGGGGGGGGGGGTGATGGAGAGTAATCACTGGATTATCGATGTTTTTGGAGGTACAGTCAAAAGGATTTGCTGATGGACTGAAGTTGAATATAAGAGAGAGACATCAAGGATGACTCCCTGTTTCTGTCCTAAGAAAAAAGAAGGATGGAGGGGCTGTGAACTGAGATGAAAACTGTGAATAAAGTAAAGAGAGGGAAAGAGCAGAAGTTTGTTTGGGAAGTATTAAGTTTGAGGTGTTTAGAGAGAATATAAAAGTATATCTTAATCTCTAGGGTATATAAATAACTCAAAAAAACTAAGCACCAAAACAAACAAAAAAACAACCCCCCCAAAAATAATCCAATCAACAAATGGGCCAAGGATCTGAACAGACACTTCTCAGAAGAGGATATACAATCAGTCAACAAATATATGAAAATATGTTCATCATCACTAGCAATTAGAGAAATGCAAATCAAAACTACTCTAAGATATCATCTCACTCCAATCAGAATGGCAGCTATTATGAAGACAAACAACAATAAGTGTTGGTGAGGGTGTGGGGAAAAAGGTACACTCATACATTGCTGATGAGACTGCAAACTGGTGCAGCCAATATGGAAAGCAGTATGGAAATTCCTTGGAAATCTGGGAATAGAACCACCATTTGACCCAACTATCCCTCTACTCGGCCTTTACACAAAAGACTTAAAAACAGCATCCTACAGGGACACAGCCACAACAATGTTTATAGCAACACAATTCACAATAGCTAAACTGCGGAGCCAACCGAGATGCCCTTCAGTGGGTGAATGGATAAAAAAAAAATGTAGCATATATACATAATGGAATTTTACTCACCAATAAAAGAGAACAAAATCTTGGCATTTGCAGGTAAATGGATGGCGTTAGAGAAGATAATGCTAAGTGAAATTAGCCAATCCCCCCAAAAACAAATGCCGAATGTTTTCTCTGATATAAGGAGGCTGATTCATAGTGGAGTAGGGAGGGGGAACATGGGAGAAGTAGATGAATTCTAGAAAGGGCAGAGGGGTGGGAGGGAAAGGGAGGGGGCAGGGGATTAGCAAGGATGGTGGAATGTGATGGACATCATTATCCAAAGTACATGTATGAAGACACGAATTGGCGTCGACATATTTTATATACAACCAGAGATATGAAAAATTGTGCTCTATATGTGTAATAAGAATTATAATGTATTCTGCTGTCATTTTTTTAAAAAAAATCACACATTTTACAAATTAAAAATAAATAAATAAAAATAAATAAATAAAAGTACATCTTAGCTACTAAGCGTAAAGCTTTGGAGTCCAGGATATTTAAAGCCATAAGATTGGGGGATAGGACCAGGGAGTAAAGTAAACTAACAAGAGTCTACATCCCAGGACTCAGTCTCAGGGACATTAAGAGTGGAGAGATGAGGAGGAACAGTAAGAAGAATTAGACTGAGCAGGTGAAAACCAGGGAAGCAAGAGGTTCTGGAACCTAGTGAAGAAAGGGTGTTAAGAGAAAGAACTGTCCTGTCAACTGTCCTGATGGATCAATTAAAATAAGGCCTAAGCTATTAATGACTCTGAGAATTTACCAAAACATTATATGAAAAATAGAAAGAAAAGGAAATACCTAGCAATAAGACTAGATTAAATACATTGTAGTGGAATATATTACCCCATTCAGATAAATTGTCCCTCTTCTTCATATAGCGATGTATCCAAAAGAAGCCCAGATCCAACACCAAAAGCTCTGATATATGGTGGGAGTCAACGTCCCCTCCAGCCTCCTGACTGGTTGGCTTGGGCTGTCTATCTGGCAGAGACGGGACAACCAAGAGCCGCACTTCCTAGGCTCCCCTGAGTTATTTCTAGATGTGATTTAATTCTTGCCTGTTAAACACACTAACATGAACTTTTGAAGTCAAGAATGAGGCGGAGGAAATCTATGTGGTTTCTAATGAGGAGCACAGTCATGGAGGCCTTTGTTTCTTTGTTTTTTAGCTTTCAGGATACAAGCCACTAGCTACTGAGGAGAGAGAAGTAAGAGGCAAGGATGCAGGGCATCCATTTGGGGGCCATGTGGCTCAATTTAAAAGGCTGTGTGGCATAGTGGCACATGCCTGATACTCAGGAGGCTGAGGCAGGAGGATTGCAAGTTTGAGGCCAATCTCAGCAATTTAGCACCTTGTCTCAAAATAAAAAGTAAGGAGTGATAGATCTCTCCTGGGTTCAATCCCCAGTACCACATGCACAAGGCTGTGTGGCTCTTGGGCAATAGTAATGGCAGTGACAAGACTCCCTGCATGTCAGCAACAGTGATGTGCCTATGGAGCCAGTCATTCTAGTGGTTGCCTCTGATTCCCTATCTCACTGGTCATGGGGAAGGAAGGGGCAGCCCCTTATCCCTTGCAGTTCAGTTTGCCAGCTTAGCATCCACTCTTCTAAACTTCCCAGTAATCTTTTAGTTTATCTTTATTTTGCTTTATTTATTTTTATGTGGTGCTGAGGATTGAACCCAGTGCCTCCCATGTGCAAGGCAAGCACTCTGTCACGAGCCACAAGCCCAGCCCTCCCAGTAATCTTTTAAACACCAATTTTATAAAATTAAATCATTTTCTTCTTAAAATAGGTATCATCATTTCTGTTTCCTGCAAATGAAGTCTGACTAATGCAAAAAATAATACAGATTTTTACAGAAGTTTTCTCATTGCGGGGTGAGGTACCAGGGATTGAACTCAGGGGCACTCGACCACTGAGCCTGCACATCCCTGGCCCTATTTTGTATTTTATTTAGAGACAGGGTCTCACTGAGTTGCTTAGTGCTTCACTTTCGCTGAGGCTGGCTTTGAACTCGTGATCTTCCTGCCTCAGCCTCCTGAACCATTGGGATTACAGGTGTGCAACACTGTACCCAGCTAGAAGTTTTCTTAATGAGTATGATGGAGTGGGAAATGATACATTCAATGCACTGGAAAGCAAAACTTTCTAAAAATTGACTTTATCAATTTTTCTCTCCATGACAGTTCTCAAACTTTTCAAGTAAAAAACACATTTTAAAGCCATATGCATAGAATAACACTATTTT